ACCGCTCACAAAATTCCTCGTGCACAGTACAAGGCAGCTGTAGCATGCCACTGTTTAGGGGACATAGCAGCCTGGCTCAGTGTGTTCCTGGATTGATCCTGGAGAAACGAACTGTAAAAATCATTTGAATGTCATTTGGGAGAATATTTAATGAGTTTAAAATTTAATAAAATGAAAAGGTGGACATCATTACCGAAAAAAGCAGCAGGTTGCAGAACAGTATATACAGTATGACATCATTTTGGTGTAAAATATTATAGATAGGCACAAACTAACAACAGTAACTTCTGGGTGATGAGAATGTGCTGTGTTTTTTTTCTCTAAGACTCAACAATACACCTCTACTGGTGCTGTAATATTTGGCTGTAACCTTATAGGGATATTTTTTTAAAGAGAGATGATAAATAAGGCAAAACGGACATTTTGGAGCAGGGCGGTACCATGATAGATGCTGTTTGAGAGATCAGCGTGTTTGCTGTCATCTTTCAAGGAGCCTTTTTTGGCCAGTGGGTCTTGTTTGGGGCCTCTGAAAAAGGAACTGGCTGCATTTGTAGAAGTTCACAGATAAAATAGGAACTCCCAGCTAGTAAGTTTTTCCTCTTTCTTTCAAGTTCTCTGTGACCACTACAACCCAGTCCATTGTGAGCTCTCCCTTAGCTTCAGGCTGACAGAGTACTTTGTCATTTGTTTATTGACTTGGTCACTCACTTCTTCACTCCGCCATTGGTTCCTGATCCTTCTTGGCAGTCTCGACACAGACACTGGGCATAGAGAGATGGACTCATGTTCCCGCCCTCAGCAACCACTTGGGATTCCTCTTTTTCCTCTTACTCTTCTCCATTATGGGGGTATTTTGAGGGCAAAGACCATTACTTATCCTTCTTAATTTCTGTTGCAAAGTTTAGCACGTGACCTGTTACATACTAGGTACTCATAAAATAATTACTGACTACCAGATGGAGTAACTCTGTTTTTTTAACTTTTTTAGGCAATAATTGAACATACCAATCAGTACAGGCTATTGGCTGGTTATCTCCAAAGGTTTTTGAGCATGTACTCCCCTTGGTACAAAAAGAAAAAAAACAAAAGAACGAGCATTGTCTCTCAACATATGCACATTTCTTTATCTATGAAATATATACATGTTACATACCACCATGACAATATGTCTAAATTTTTCTTATTTTAAAAAATAAATTATTTTATTTCTACACCCTCTGGAAAATACAGGGGTGAAGTAGCCTTCCTTTTGTCCCTTTTTCTCCTCCCAGCCGTCCTTCCAAATTCCGCAAGGACGAGTATAAAATTCTCATAAGAAGGAAAGAAGGATATGGAGATTGCCACCACTCTAAGTTAAAGGCAATTTTCCCAGCCTCCTCCCTTTCCGCTCCCTCCATCTGGAGGAAATGCCACCTGATGGGCTTATTCATGTATCTCCCACTCACACACACCCATACCTCTTCAATCTGGAATGTAAGCCAGGTGAATATAGCTTTGTTACCCACTGCATAAATAATACCAACCACGAGGCAGCTTCCAAATGACTCCAGATGTGCTCTCTTCACATTGCCAGAAAGAAAATAACTTTGAGCTAGTGTCATTTTGGCAGAGAGCTAACTCAGTGATTTTCATCTGGATGAAATAAGGAAGAACTATCAGGACTTGTCTATTACCCATGCAGGTGAGATAGAAATAGAAACATCCGCTCTGTCAAATTGAATGGCCCTGTACTTTAGCACTCTTAGATTCTGGTTTAACATCAAGATGTCTCAGGCTTTAAATGAAATGTCAAATATAATTTGGCTCTGGATTCCCAAGATATATGATTGCCCTTGGAGAAAACTTGATAACTCAGCGTTCTTGTGTCAAATGTGTATCTACCTGATAGGGTACTCTATAAAGCGGGTCCCCCCACTCTCCCTCCATCATATAAAAACCCTCAGCCAGCCTGATGAGCCAGGCTCCATTCCTTGCTTTAATGGGCATGAGACTCCACAAAGAAAATTTTTATGTCCATGAGGCAAAGGCCACTGTTCAGAGTTCTCTTTGAGAATCTAATCTGCACAGAATATGACAGCCCAGTATTATAAAATGCAGAGACTTTCAAAGTGTTTGGACACAGCTGACCATGCCCATAATAATATATCACACATACTCCCTTCCTTTCAAAGTGTTCTTTCTGAGTTCCTCATTTCACTTCCCCTTGCTTGGCATTATCCAGCCCTGGTGGTCTACTGGTTAGGGTTTGGCACTCTCACCACAGTGAGAACACAGTGAATACAGTGGCCTGTGTTCATTTCCCAGTCAAGGAACACCATCACCTGTCTGTTAGTTGTCATACTGTGGCAGCTGTATGTTGTTGTGATGCTGAAAGCCATGCCACCAGTATTTCAAATACAGCAAGTTCACCCATGGTGGACGGGTTTCAGTGAAGCTTCCAGACTAAGACAAACTAGGAAGAAGGACCTGGCCACACACTTCCAAAAAAATTGGCCATGAAAACCCTGTGAATAGCAGCAGAGAATTGTCTGATACAACACCAGAAGGATGGCACAAAAAGACCAGGCAGGGTTCTGCTCTGCTGTACACAGGGGCGCTAGGAATTGGAATCCACTCAACAGCACTAACAAGAAAAACCTTGGCATTAATTTTCCTCATTTGTGGAAGAATCAGACTCAGTCCCAAAATCCAACTGAAAAGAGTATTTAAAGAAAAAAATATAGAACAGCTTGTTTCTTTAAAGCGAAAGAAACTCACAGCCTAAACTTGGAAGGACTGAGGGGCAGGTATTCGCTCAGGAGCTGCTGGACAGTGGAGATTGATAGAGCAGTGAACGCGATCAGAAGACTCACAACCTGGTCCAAAGTGATTTTCGAAAACTAACATGGTAGATAAAGAAATCTGACAGCCTTAGCCTTGAGTGTACGTAAACCTTTTAGTGGAATTTGATCTGTCACAAAGGGCCTTTCTCTCACTGACACACTGCCGTGTCAGAAATTCCAAACCACAGCTGGTATGCTGAGTGTAAATATGGCTGTGAAATGTGTCACTGGGAGGGGTAGTGAGTTCCCCTTGACCTTGTCCTTATAAAAAGGGGAAATTAGGACACAGAGACAAAAACACACAGAGGGAAGATGATGTGAAGACACAGGGAGAACACCACGTGAACATGGAGGATTGGAGTAATGCATCCACAAGCCAAGGAATGCCTGAAGCTACCAGAAGCCAAGAGAGAAGCATGGAGTAAATCGTTCTCTAGCATCTTTAGAGGAAGGTTAGCCCTGCAAACACTAGATTTCAGACTTTCAGACTCCAGAACGGTGAGATAATTTACTTGTATCGTTCTATGTCACCCAGTTTGTGTGTTTTGTTATGGAAGCACTATTAAAATAATATAGAAGGCAAGAATTATCATTCCTATGTTACAGATGTGGAAACTGAGGCGGAATTCAAATTCAGCTCTGTCTGACTCCAGAGCTCATACGCACGCAACCATAGCAATGTTTCTAAACCGGCTTCCCTGGGCCTGAGAGTCATAGACAGGTGCTCAGAATTCGAAGCATTCAGTCAAAAAATTCTTAATTTTCTGTTTGCATTTCAATGGTTTTTGAAATGATGAGTGTATATGGGCTTATCTTAATGGCTATGTAGTAATCAAACACTACTCATGATTTCCAGGTCCAAACTTCTGTTTCTGTTGGTGATGAAGTTGGTATCAATTGTTGCTATTTTAATCATCCCAAAATAATGAGAAAAAGAGCACAACATGCTGCTTATGTAAATAATGATTTTAGCACAATGTGAAGTCCGAATAGCAACACAGCTGATTGTATGAAAAGTGGTCACAGTAGCTGAAATGACAAAACTGTAGGTTAATTGAGTCATCATCAAATGAAACCTAATAGCACACTCAGGTTGGCCTCAAAAGGGTGCTGCATGTCAGTCAGAGCCACTTGATGCCTGAATGATGATTTTGCTTCAAATACCATCATCGCGTATGAGGAATATTGTTAATATAAATTTTATTGGGCTGTATATTTGTTTCTGTTTAATAACTTTATTATGTTTATTATTGTGTTAAGAGGCAGAGGCATTAAAACCTTATATCTACTTTTATGATTGTACAAGAGGTAGGAGAATGTATTGAGACATTAAGTTGTGTTTTGCGGTCCGCATTGGCCACCACTTCCATTCCAGAGGGTAGTCAAGTACTTCGTGTTCTCTCACATCAGGAGCATTGGTGGGGCCATAACTGAAGATGCTTGAAGACCACATCACACAGGGCCTTCTGGAAAAGCCTCACTTTCTGAGGAAATATGCTGAGTACACAGGAGGAGGAGGGAAGGAGACAAAGGTCCTTGCTAGAGAGAGAGGAAGATGTAGAGAAAGTGATGGCAGATTTACCGGAGTCTGGGAGGAGACAAGGCACTGAGGGTCCCTCAAGTGATGGAAATCCATATCTTACTCCCTCCAAGGACAAGGCTTGGAAGATGGGGTAAATGGCTGCTTAGTGTGGGAGAAGTGGATCCTAGGAATCCAGGGTCCAATTCCTGGGCCTCAAACACAGTCTAGAGAGAGCAGAACAGTAAACCCTAAGTCACCTTGAGAACTTGGATGAGGCCATCTCATTGATTACTAGTAGGACCAATGGCTTACATGCTTTGTCACTGACTAAGACCCTCCCAAGACATTCACATGACCCTTAGTAGATGCATTGGATGAGATGCAGGGAGCCCCAATGAGACTAAGATTCATTTTCTTGCTGGCCTGGCAGGATGAGGGCTCAGAGTCTTATTTAATCCGAATGAAAGTACCTAAAGTAATGCAACATATCTGGCACATTCAAGTGGTTTACATACCTATTTAATTAATGTTATAATTTAAAATTATCTAAGTCAATACTTTGGGTCTGAAATAATTTTTTTCTTCCAAAAGAAGCCTGAACAATACTGGGTTTAAAATGCATGGCATTACTCAGAATTGCCTCCTACAGTAGCAACTAACAGCTTAGCATGGGTTAATCTACTTGCTAGCTAGCTGTCACCTTGGAAACCGAGGAGCAGAGCCCCGAGGGATGGGGCAAGTGGATTTATAGACTTAAATAACAATTCCAGATAACAAGAGAAGAAATGTCACAGGTAGTTCATGATTAATTGCCAAATGAGTAGCACAAACAATAACTGCTAAAAAATAAGAGCTCCCTACATTTTCTCGGGTTAGAGTTTTATACAACATTTTCATACACTTACTTTACTTAGCTTTACTGAAGTAGAAAATGGACTGTGGCCATATGAACCTGCTCCAACACCACCAAATACATACTCTACCACCCATTTACCAGTGTCTCTCATCCCCCTGGAGGGGAACATAGAAAGTGAAGAGATTCTAGAATACAAGACAACTGGGTATCTAAGGAAGATGTAAGAGGGTAAAATTATGAAGATAAATGCAATTACCTGGGGAACCTGGACAAAATTTTACCCCCTACCTGTGGTCCTGAGATCCACACAGCCAGTCAATCAACGGGCTCCATCTGAAGGTCTTTCTCCAACCAGCCCTTCTCCCCATGTCTATCCTGCCTTAAAGCGGGCCTTCGTTATCTCTCATCTAGGACTGGCACAGTCTCTCAACCACTCTCCTTGCTTCCTCTCCTAGCCTGCTTCTGACTAGAAATATTATCACATCACCTCCCTACCTAGAGCTCTTCAGTGGCCCTACCACCCCCTCCTCAGCTCCATGTTGCCTCTGCAGTCTAGACTCCCACCTCTTCTCCCACAGACCCGACTTGCAGACTTGCTGTACTTTGAATTCACCAAACTCTCCGTCAGTAAGCTTGTTCTCATGCCTCTGCCTAGAATTCTCCCCTCTCTGTCCTTCCTGATGAAATCCTGCTGGTCCTTCTAGGGCTCACTCTTCCCCAAGCCTGGCCTCCTGAGGTACTCCTGCCTCTTCTGTCCCTGGAACTTGGTTAGTGTCTGGCTCCATTTAACGGTTATCAACGTGGTTCAGAATAGTTGGTGTTTAATGGGACATCTCTAATTGTCCTAGAATCTGGGCTAAAACTGAAGACAATAGATGAGTATTCACACATTCCAGAGAGAAGCTGAATACTCCTAAACCAGCCACACTGAGTGAAAGAATAGTAGATATGTGAAAGGCAGTTGGGTGAAAGAATAGAAAGTTCTTGGCTTTTCCCAACCAACGGGCTGGAGGAAGGGCTTGAGGAGCATCATTTATAGATCCTGGGTGTGGCTGCAAAAAGTGAAGAAAGGAGTCCCACCCCCCAGTGGGATATTTACTGTGCCACCAAGTCACAGGCTTCACAGCAGCTGGGGATCCAAGTGAAGCACGGGGAGCGTTCTTGGAAGACCTTGAGTTAGGAGACATATGTGGACAGATAGTCTGGGACCTGCTTCCTACCCGGAGGAGTCTCACAGCATAGTGGCCAGAGCAGCCCAGGGTGGCAGGGAGAAGGCAGCAGGCAGCTTTAGAGCAGCGTTGGGCTTGACAAGTGCATGTGAGTTTCCTGTGGACCAAGTACATGGCTCAGAGGATGGCTGAGCTGGAGGCAACTTGATGAGATCCTACCCAAAAGGGCTGGACACCTGTAGATTGACCTCCGTGGGATAGGGGTTAGATAGGGGCTGCCAGGGGTCATCCAGAGAATGTGGCCCCTGTATTAGGAAACTGCACTGCAGAAATACCCATGTTGGAGGTTGGGTGGTGGCGCTGTGCAGCAGGTCCCATGAACAACCTACCAATGTGCCTCCTGTAGCATTTGGACACCTGCTACAGCCAAGGGCACAGATGCTTGCCTCCAAACCAGTAGCCATGTAAGTCTTTGCCTGCCTTATCCTTCCAATGTCTAATACCTGACCTCATCTCTCCCACCACCACCCCCAACCCTGAAGGAACATGAGGCAGGAGGCGGGAAGGTGAAGGAAGAAAGAAGAAACAGATCACACTGGTCCCCGCCCTGGTCACCAAGGCACACGTAAGCCTGCTCTGAGGGAACGAGAGAAGCTTTAAATTATATGTCATCTTGAAGTTTGAAAAAGGACAGAATGAGGCTTTTGAATGCCTGAAAGGGACTCTACATTGTCAAAAAGGAGTAAAAGAGATTGGACAGCTATGGAACCTGCCCAAGATGTCATCGAGAGGCAAAGAAGGGAAATGAGATAAAGCATGAAGGAAATGGTAAGAGGACAATAAAGCCATTTCCTGCTTATACTCTACAAAGTTCAGCCTAAGTAACAAATTCATTTTATTTTTTACTTATATATGTATAGATATGTGTGTGTTTATATGTACATGTGTCCGTGTGTATGTATATAAAGGAGATGTTTGTTTGTATGTATGTGGACATACATATATCCTTTTAGTCTGTAGCTTTTTGAGGAAAGAGGCATATTTGTTCACTTTTATATCCCCAGCCCCTGGCACGCTGATTATTGTGGAGGAAGATGAAGTGCTGCCCCAGGGGGATACAAACACACACCATCTGGCGCATCCACAAGTGTCAGGCTGTCAGACACAGCAACCCTGGGACCACACTTCGCTCTCTCTTCCCAATGACAGTCACTTCCAATCAACGCTGTGAATCCAGGTGGCATCCTAAGAGGGCCTGGAGTCATTACAGAGAATTCTTTTATCCTCCCAACTCTGCTTGTCTCCAAAGGCCCACAGAGCTGGGGTGATAACTCCTATGGCCAGGGACATTCACTTATATATCACTCACCCGCTTTGTCTGAGGGTTTCTACCTGTCAGCTGTCCAAATGACAAATGCCTTCAACACGAAAATGGAACGTCCAAAGTCATCTTTTACAAAAATGACTTCTCTGTACAACTAGGCTTGTGTGAGTTCCCAGCAGTAAGTGAAATTTCTACGGGAGAACTTGAAGGTAAAATGGGTGGAGAGGAGGAGGTATCTTTGGCATATTTTCCTGAGTAAACTACTTAAAGGTATTGTTCTAATTATCTATTGCTATGCAACAAACCACCCCAAAATATAGTAGCCTAAAACGACTATTTTATTTGGCTCACACTTTTGTGGGTCAGGAATTTAGGAAAGGCTGGAATGGGGAGTTGAATGCTGAACCATGTAGCACCAGCTGGGGTGGTGGAGGGGGCGGGGGCAGCTGAGGAAGGAGGATTCACATCCAATATGGTGTCTTCGCTGGTTGCTCTGAAACCTGGGCTGGATGCCTGGCAGTTGATTCTGGCTGATGGCTGGGAGCCCAGCTGTGGCTGTTGGCCAGAGAGCTGACACTTGGTCTCTCCATGTGGCTTGAGCTTCTCACAGCAGGTGGCCAGGTTCCAGAGCAAGCATCCCAAGAGCGAGGGTACCAAAAGGCCCAGGCAGATGCTGTAGGCTTCTTATGACTAATCCCAGAAGTCCCAGAACATCGTTTCTGCCACATTCTTTTGGTCAAGCAAATCACTAGGGGAGCAGAATTAGACTCCATCTCTCAATGACAAGAATAACAAAGAATCTGTGGCCATTTTAATCTACCACAGGGATGTTGAGATGTATTCCACATGAAGGGGAGTGACTCCCTCTTCAGCTACTCCTTTCTTCACCTCATCTTTACATACACATGGTACAGAATGGAGATGATAGTGAAATAAAAGCCAAGCCTTCATTACGCCCAGAGTCAACTAATTGTTATTACCTGAGCAAGTCCTCTAACTTCTTGCGTCTCAGAAAGGAGATGTTTTCCTAGGTTACAGTGAAGTTAGAGGTCACATACTTGTGGAGCATGTAAGCCAAACCCAGTCCACAGATTTGTTTGGTGTGAACATTGCTTTAATATACATATATATACATATATACATGTGTGTGTGTATGTACACACATACTTTTTACTTAATTGACACACTTAAAGGCTAGATGATGCCGTATAAAATTCAGATGATCTGAGAAAACTGGACATGCATTCCAGCATGGCAAAAGCTGCCTGGAGTGGAGGGTCGGCTGCCTTCTTTAGATGGTGCGGCCACTCTCTCGTGTGTCTACACAACTCATATATTACATGAGTAATATGGCCAGGGCCAGATAGGCATGCAAGTTTGCTTCTCTACCACATGGTATAATGGTTAAGAGCACACAGATGCTGCCTTTAGTGGCATGTACTCAAATCCCGGCGCTGCCATTTATAAGCTACACGACCTTAGGGAAGCTTTTTAACTACTTGCTGCTTAATTTCACTGTCTGTCTGTTAGGAACAACAATAGTGACCTGCCTCACAGGTTTTATGAAGCTGAAATGAATTTACATTATGATATGAATACATAATTAAGATAATAATTAACATATTAATAAATAGGTGAACAGTGCCTAGCATGTATTATCATTTTCACAGTACTGTAATCATAATAAGAATCAAATGAAAAGATTCAGGTAAAATTATTTTGAAAATGTTTAGGCATTATATACAAGTCCTAAATTATTATATTTCTATTACATGCAATACAGAAGATTTCTTACAGGTGGTTTCTCCAACCTTCTCTGAATACTTCTGGGGCAAGAAACTTACCTCCACTTGTCTTAATCTTGTGACAATTCATTCCACGGTTAGTTCTGTTTTTAGAAACGTTTTCCTTAAATTAGGCCTTCCTCACTTCTGTGAACTTCTATAGGACTTATTTTCTGTACTTTTCCTTTGGCATCATCTCCCTTATTTCCTTACTTAGCTAATTTATTCTTTCTTCCACATGTATCATGTGTCAGACACGGTGCAGGGGACAAAGAATACAACACGGAATAGCACCCAGCTCCCACATGAGAGAAGCTTAGAGATCAGTGTTCCTGACTCCTTGTATTGTAGGATGCCACATGCAATAACTGTTTTACTCTTTCCTGCATAAAAATAAGCTTGCCTTTTACTCTCATGTGTTACCGTTTATTAAGTGCTTCCACAGACCTTATATCAATTGGCTCTCAGAAGGACTCTGTGAAATAAACTGTATTATTCCAATTTTAGAGATACAGACACTGAGGTTTGTGCAGTGCTCTCTCCACACCACCCCTCTGACACACCTCCAGGGACCGGCATAGAGTTGGGCTCTAGGGTGCACTTGAAGAAAGGGTTCAGTAAATGAATAAACTATACCTGAGTGAACCAGGAGCTGAAGTAGCTCTAGCCAACATCATTCCCAACACTGAGCAGCTAGTTCAGTTCAAAGATAGTGCAGCCTGTTAGAAAACAACACATCCAGGCTGGAGGAGTATGACGACAGAGGACTCCTCGAGGAGCATCTCCAGGAAAACATGGAAATGGTGAATTGTCTGATGTGTTTGACTCTCTAATGCCTGTGACAAAAAGCTATTGGAGTATATGAAAAGAATTAGCAATAGATACATAGAAAATTGATCAAATTTTAAAATGAGCCAATTATTAAATCTGGAAAAAACAAAAATATATATCAGAAAAGAAACATAATTTAGGTACAATACATAGCTCAGAAGTAAAAGAAACTTAGTCATATTGAATTAACTAAACATATTTACATAACTATATTGGGAGGATAGGAAGAATAGAAGCAGAGAGTGGTCGAAGAATGCTAGATCTTTGCTATAATTACGAAATAATAATGACTGAAACAGATAAATCAAGAAATAACAGTACTAGCGTATTATTTAGGATTACAGATTCAAGGACCAGAAGAAAAACTAAAAGAGTTGAAAAAGCCTGGCTCTGGGAAGCAAGACTTGGGAGCAAAGAGGGATGGGATAGAGATGAGACATCATAAGCCTGTTAGAATGTATTATTTGACTTTTTAACCTCATGCAGGTATTACTTTGTTGTTTTAAAAAAAAAGCTGACCACAAAATGACAACATGATACCACCTCATACCCATTAGGATGGGAACTATAAAGAATGTTAAAAAAAAATTGGAAAATAACAAGTGTTGGTGAGGATGTAGAGAAAAGGGAATCCTTGTGCATTGTTGGTGGGAATGTAAAATGGTGCAATCAGAATGGAAAACAGTGTAGCAATTCCTCAAAAAATAAAAAATAAATTTACTATTTGATCCAGTGATTCCACTTCTGGGTAAATACCTAAAAGAATTGAAAGCAGGATCTCAAAGAGATACTCATATACTCATGTTCATAGCAGTATTATTCACAATTTCCAAGTGGTAGAAGCAATCCAATGTTCATCAATGAATGAAGGGATAAACAAAATGGACTATATACATATAACAGAATGTTATTCAGCCTTAAAAAGAACAGAAATTCTGACACATGCTACAACATGGCTGAATCTTGAGGACATTATGCTAAGTGAGATAAGCCAGTCACAAAAAGACAAACACAATATGATTCTACTTATATGAGCTACCTAGAGTTATCAAATTCATAGAGACAAAAAGTAGAAGGATGGTTGCCAGGGGCTGAAGAGAAGTAAGAATGGAGAATTCTTGTTTAATAGGTATAGAGTTTCAGTTTTGCAGTATGAAGAGTTCCGGAAGATTGGTTGCACAACAATGTGAATGTACCTAATGCCACTGAACTGTACACTTAAAAAATGGTTATGGTGGTAAACTTCATGTTATGTGTACTTTACCACAATTAAGAAGTTTTCCTAAATTAAAAACAACAACAAACAAAGACAATGTAGCCTGAAATGTGATGGAGTCATAAGTGGGTGATGTTCAAATACTCACCCACCAGTATGGCATAGGCATGGGATAATCAGAATGGACACACGGTTAAAAAGTGAAAAATTCGGCAACTAGCTAGATGCTTACTCCACAATATTAAAATCCAAGGTTTGACCTTTTGTGTGTATTTGACTGTCTCCTGCTATGAGTACATTGTGTAATTCTGGGGGAATTGAACCTATAGCAGAAGTCAGGAGACCAAGTACATGATGTATCAGAAAGATCACTGAACCTAAAATCAGAAGGCCCTGAGTCCAAGCTTTGATTTCTCTCTGATTAGCTGAGTCACTAGCCCTCAACTGATCTGTAAAATGTGTATAACAATCCTTACCTACAGTGCCAGGGACATAATAGGAACTCAAAAAATATTTGTTGAATAAATCAAGAATGAAAGTATGCTTAAAAGAGACCATAAATATGAAAGTATATTGTAAGTTCTATTATTCTCTGTAAACATAAACATTTAAGTAAAATTATACTTTTGCCCTGACTAAGATAGTATCTGGTTATGACTTGGAGTCTTTCTTAGGGCTCCTGAAACCACTCCATTTCCAAAGTGACCACTTATCCTCTCTGAAGATTCTTTCTAGTGTACTTTATATATTGCAACAAGCTAGGAATGCTGTTGCAAAGGAAAAATCAAAAATATCTTATGATCAATCAAAGATTCTGGCTAAAGTCACC